AAAAAACTACCAGGAATGACAGGTAATCGTGAATATCAACCCATCTATAATCATAATAAAGATAGAATCAAGGTGGCAGAACATGAAATCCAAGGCCAAACCTTTGGGCTTCTTGGACGACAAGAGGTAGAAAGCACCGAGAACAATGGCTAAAAGAGCCACGGCGACGCCCACAAGCATCTGATTTTCCGGTGTCTGTAGGAAGTCCATGGCTTAAGCTCTAGATTGCAGACGGCAGAATTGCGGGAGATTCACGGCCCTATGTTGCCCGGGCCTCCACCAAAGCGCCCCACTCGAAACTCCCCAGCTACTCTGAAGTCTAAGCAGAAACTATGACAGGGACGGAAGTAATAATTAAACTTAAGGACATGCTTGGGTGCCCCAAAACCATGGTTTGGGTGACCCACCCCCAAACAGCATCATAGGGAAGGAAAAGTGCTCGCAGCGGCCCCAATCATGTAAGATGTTGCTCCAAAACCCTTGAAAATCCAAATAAAATAGAAGTTAACATTATAAATGAACAAGTGAAAAGAATTTAAGGTTTAGCATTAATAAAAAATAATTTTAATTACTTGATGGGTTTATATATAGTAATTATTTTTTTACCAGGGTATATAGTAATTATTTTACATCTTACAGTTTAAGATATAATTATAATCATAATCATAAAATGACGCCTATTTTGTAACTTGCGAAAATTTTCGGTGTCTGCTCAGGGTTGGGTTTTTTGATGCAATGCAAGATGGGGTTTATATATGTAAGTTTTTCCGAAAAAGTGGAAGTAGGACCGGGGCCGAAGGGATGGCATTGGTGGTAGGTGGACGAGTTCTGACTTCTGAGAGACCTGTCCTATTTGTTTTTTTAAACAAATATTTGGGGCTAGGGAGCAGCTCGCCAGTTCATCATTAGGTAACATATCAAATCATATAACCAAGAAAAAAAAACTCTATTTTAAATTATCAATTATTAATTCTCTCTTTTTTTTCCCTTCGTCCCCTTATTATTTGACCTTCATGTCACCGACTTCTACTGTGAACGTGCCGTTCGGTTTAATGATAAAAGAATTGGGAGTGAATGAATTTACGATGGTAAGTCGTAAGATAGGAAGGAGGAGTGTTGTGGAATCTCAGGCACAGGTACGATTCAGTGCCCTTAGAAAGGTGGAGACAACAGTCAGCCAGCATGCTCCACGTGTTGTAAGTGTTTGGATAAGTAGTGAGAGAAGTTTTTTTTTTTCAATCTGACTTTTACATAAGTCAGATTTGATAAAAGTCAAATAGGGTGATGTGATTTATGTTTGTATTAACTTTTGTAGAAAATCAGTTTAAAAAGCTGAAACTTGTTTGGATAAATAATAAAAAAGTAAGTTTAGATACAAAATAATTGAAAATGACATAAATTTTTTAAGTAATATTATAATAGTAAGTTCTAAGTAATAAAATAAAAACAAAAAGATATATTTTTTTACAAAAAAAAATATAAACATTAAGTAAATAAATGAAAAAATAGTATGGTGTTTTTTTTTTCCAATTTTACGCTAGTATTTACTCTTGCAATAATTTATGTTCAGTATTTACTAAAAAAAATATTATCCTTAATTTATTGTTCCACTTTTACAGCATGTGAATGTCTTAAAAAAAAAAAATTGTTCATATCTAATATCATCATCTCTTCTCTTTCTTCTTTTCTTCTTTCCTGCACACCCCCCGTCCCTCACCCCAACTCTCCTCACTCCAAAAGCAAAAAAAATTAGCTTCTACCCAACAGCTCATTAGACCCCATGAGCCCATCACAAAAAGAAGTCAATCCAAATTATCAAAATCCCAAAAGTAGCTTTTACCGGTAGAGACGCACGTTTAGGCCACGAAACGCGATGCCAAACACACCCTAATCATTCTGCCTACCGTTTTAGTTGAGACCCACCAACTGTAACTTGCCTTCACCCTCCCTATTTTGTGTTTGATTTGATGCCATTACATTATTTCCATGGAAATCAAGTTATAATTTACTATTCCATTGGCTCTTATACAGTGTTCTGGTTTGGGATCTGAACCGGCCTTGTTTAACAATGGAGACGTGCTTTCTGATAATACAATCTTCATTATGGAATTAAAAGATATTGGAGGAATTATTTTTGAAGCCCAATATCTTCTGCTTCACGGGATTTATTCTTGTTTATTTAACAACAAAAGATTTAGATTTGAAAAGATTACAGTGTGTCAACTTCCAAATTTCCATGAACCTACGATCTCCCTCAACCTTCTATCTAAACAGATCCTCCACGAACCCTATATTTTGGCTGCATCCTTTTCTTGCACATTACTCCATTTGCAAGCGGCCCATACATCCTCTAGGTAGTGAGCACATTCCTTCTCTCTGCCCAAAATTACATTGCCATGGTCCGCATTTCTTATGATGCTAACCTCAGCTTTTGGAGCTTTCAGCTTCAAGTTATAGCAGCACTCCAACGGGACGACCGCATCTTTATCGCCTTGAATCACATTTATTCTGACTCCAGCTTTACTCAAGTCCTCCAGATACCTATCCATAAATTTCGCGCCCCCACAAATCACATTGTGCATGGAACTCCAAGCTGAATGATGGGTGTGCCTGGTCAGGTCTATGGCCAAGAAATGAAGATCCCTGCAAAAGTTAAGAGGCCAGCTTATCAGTACCATGCATGCCAATGACGCGTGCACTGCAATCTTTTGCTCTTCTGTCAAGAAAAATGTAGTCGTTAGTTTTACCTTTGGAAAGTAAAGAACTTTATAATTTTCTCCCATATCCTGTGATTTCTGCAAAACATGAGGCAAACAAATCGACCTAAGTGCTCATACCACGACATGAAGGCAGAACCGAATGCCAATGGCGGCCACAGTTTCTTGCCAGCAAGTTTTGTGAGTGCCTTTAAACTAGCATCATTTCCACCAGAAGGGAAGTACGGCTGCCAGCAAATCAATAAAGAGAAAATTGCTAAATGATAGAGTTGCGGACGGATGATCAATTTGGGTCTCTGCTTTGAAATTAGAATTCTGAGAGAGGCTTATCAGGTAGGGTTTTAGGCACTTACAGGGGCAACAAGGGTGATGGACTTGACACACTTGGAGTACTTTGCAGCCAAAGCCAGCGCAATCAAGCAACCCATAGAGTGTGCAACCAGATGAAAAGAGCTTAAATTCAGTGGTTGAACCACGGATTTCTCTATCATTCCCACATGATCTTTCAGAGTATAGGAACAATTCCTTGGCTTTGGGCTCCTACCAAATCCCAGCAAATCCACCGCAACCAAACGGTAATTCTGCTTTACTTGTTCAGAAAAATATGGGACAACTGTCTGTGTCCAGAATGAAGAAGAAGAGAGAAACCCATGCAAAAAAACCACGTTCTCAGAAGGCATTCCCTTGCAGTTCTCATCAGTGGCTGTCAAACATGATTTTGAACTGCATGAGCAACTCAATGAATACAACATTAAAAAGAAAAAAAGAAAAGAAAAGAAACAGAAACAAATTTACCAACGGAGGACTCGTTCACCACAAAATGAAGCTTGTGATCACCATCACTCACCCACGAAAGGCACGACTCGCACCCACAATCGGACCAACGGTTCATCGACCACCTACCTTCGCTACATTTTGTCTCGGAATCTTTTAATTTCCTTTCAATTCGAAGGAAACCCATTTCCCTGAACAAGTTTTGCCTCCTGTACAATGTATCTGATAGCTCGCCGTCCTGATCATCTTTCGTGTTCTCCTCGCGCCGACCCCTGTTTCCACAACAAGACGTGAAGGCCTCCCCTTCAATATATTCATCAAGGTATTTATATATTAGGCAAAAAAGGGTGTCCAGGAAATCAAGAAAAAGGAAAACGATGGAAGTGATGACAGAGACTAGCTTTTCAGCAGGTTTGGTAAGCCATTTTGCCGAGAAATCTGCAAGAGACATGGATGGATGAAGAGGAAGACGGGGTCAGAAAGTGGAAAAGAATAGAATGGCGATTGTAGAAAGGTGAGAATGGGAGAATATGAGATGGCGGTATAGATTCGACCACGTCGAGGCATCTCATTCACTCCACGCTCGTAGTAGCGGATCAAGTGTGGCCCCTCAATCCTTCCAGGTCCCTGCTCCCCGGGCTCGGCCACCCCAGCTGGAATGAGCTCCATTCGGTGTCGTTTCCTGGTCACATCTTGTCGTTTTTGCCAGCTGGCCCTTGTCGTTCGTTTTTATTTGTCCTCTTTCTTCGTGTCATGGCTCGGCAACGGCAAGGGCTTCCTATCATAATTTGCACCAAAAAATTAGGGCTCATACTCACTCGAACCCACCCCATGTTTATTTCTGATTGACATCAAAATTCGATCGAATCGAACCTATTCGTGTAAACTCAAACAAATATTCCCCCTTGTCATCGCTGAGAGGTTGGGTAAAACTTAGAACTTTTGTTGCTTTGAAATTAAAAACAATTAGAAGTAAAACAGTTCCGTGTAAGTTGGACTTGAATCTGAGGGTTTTTCAGCAACATTTTCGTCTGATACTTTCTTCATAGGCCCAATTTCCAACAAGAAAAGGCCATGGCATTCTTTTATTTCCTTTGGGCCAAATTGGCGTACACGAGTAAATGGAGACTTCCCGCTGTGTTGTGAATGTATTGCTGGACCTACTTATTGTCTGCATTGGGTTGGACCAAGTTGGAGCCTCTGCCAAGACGGATCCCTCCCAATCTTCTCTTTTTTATGCATTTAAGTTAATTGACTAATTTAAATAGATTAAAAAAATTAGGTAAATCAATTATTTATAATAAATAGGTGTTGTTTTTTTTAAAATATCCTTACTAAATGTATTAGCCAAAACTACAAGTTTATGAAATATTTAACATGTGTAACTACTACAAAAACTACTTTGAGAAAAAATAGATAAATATGAGAAACGGTAGGGATTGGCATTTTATATTTAAGACCAAATTAAAAGTCAAACTAGCTTTTATATTAAAGAAGAGAGGTAGTATATATCTAAAATGTTTGAAGGCTCTAATGGATAAGGATTATGTAGGGGGGTATTAGTTTTATTTTCTGGACTTTCTAGCCCTCTTCACTGCCCAAAAAAAGGGTTGGAGCCTCCGCTACTACTTCTATTTGTCTTCAACAAACCCAAAAAAAGAAAAAAAGGAAGGGAAAAAAACAGAGATAAGAGATAAGAGAGATCAGGAGGAGTATGGAGGCTGCTTCACTGAGGGAGATTCTTATCAATGCATGGCAATAAAGAATTGTGTGGAGAAACTCGTGCAAGTGTACGAATTGATAACACCTTCGATTGTAGTAATACAAGATGAAAGGAACCATAGCGTGTGGTGCAGCAAGTGAACAGTCTTGAGCTAGACTATATGATGATATTCACACACACACAAAAGCAAAACCTGACTTGGTATATAGTTGGTAGCTTGGTGTTGATGAAGAGTGGCGTAAGATGTAGATGAGTGAGCAGTAGTAGTGCTTGTGGTTGTCAAGATCACATTCAGGCACACGAAATCACTGAGAGAAAGGATTATGTTATGTCATATCTGCTACATAAAGGTTCACCGCCCATAGTCCCACACCTTTCACTGTTATCTTCACTTGATGCATCTCCCTCCAATCACATACTTCCTCAAGATGGAATCTCTTTCCCGTTCCTTCCTTTCCATCCCACCCATTCCATATCAGTGTAAATGAAAGAATTAAAAAAATATTGATGTTCATTCCGTTTTAAATCAAGACAAAAGTCACTCAATTATGGAGGTAATCCAGTGTCTGATCATGATTGATTCGTTGAGTGATAGAGCATTCTGGCATGTTATGTCAGGTACTGCAAAGTCAAAATTCTATCTAATCAAGTCCCTCAGATCATGATGAGCAGGATTCATGTAACCAGAGCTTATCCCTACTTCATAATCATTACCCCTTGGGTCCTCAAGTCATAAAACAGTTAACAGCGCAGAAGGGTCTCTCTTTTCTTCCTTTATAGACAAACAGGCCCTTGCAGTGGTGTTTGATAACTGACTACATGTGTTAAATTTTGCGGCAGCATTAGTTCCAAGATTGGTCCCTCTTTTGACACCTAGCGACACCTGTTTCTCTTCGTCGTGGCGAAGGAAGGATGGACTTGCTCTTTGCCACATGCACATATTAAAAATAATACATATATCTTTTTGGAAGAAAGAAATGATGACATGTAGAAGTTGAGGTTGACTTGGAGCATTAGCACTCATACTTCCTGTGAAGCTCAAGTAAATTATATTTTGTACGTCTGATATTTTTCCTATATAAGCACCGTCTCCTCACGCTTTGCCTTATCATCATTCGCCACCTTTTGCAGTCTCGAGGTCTGTTCTCTTGCAGTTCAACATGGTGCACAAATCTCCCCCGCAACTGCTCATCATCCTTCTGGGTTTTTCACTTGTTATCTCGTCTGTTGCTGTCCCAGCAAGCAGTAAGACTTGAACCATTTTGCTTGAGTTAATTCCTTAGTTACTAAACTCTGACACGCATCTTCAATTTCATGGTACACAGGAAGCCTCTTGTCAAACGGGGAAGAATTTTCAAGACTCTCAACCCAGGCAACACCGCTTCAGGTTCCATAGCTAATTAACTTGGACCCATGATTCTCACTCATTCTCAGTTCTTCAATATGTCAAGGTCTCAAAATTGAGAATATGATGATGTCTTGGAAAACAAAATTGCAGGGTTTGGTGGATTTGAGGACTGGGGAAGAGACGACTGAGACGGGAGAAGATCAGGTGATAGTGGGAAGGATGGATTTGGAGAGTACAGACTATCCAGGGACAGGAGCTAACAACCGTCACGATCCAAGAACACCGGGAAGACCTTGAATGATCCACAATTGTTCTTAGCATCTCTGTATGGGTTATCTATAAGACCTTAAGAAGCTTGTTTAAGATTTGTTTATTCTTGATGCAGACTTTCCGTTAGTGGGTGAATGTAATTGTGTTTTAGCAGAGTTAGTCAGGTACTACGAAGATCTTGAGGTGGCTTTCTGTGATCTCAATCTCCCAAAATGTAATGAAGTTTTTGGAATAAGGAGACTTGCTTATAGGAAGCAACGTCACATGCCCGAAAAATCAAGTCTGCCAGTTTCGACTGTTGAATTTGGTGGGGGATGGTGAAATTCAATGCATTGCTTAGTTATCCTGTCCGTCTGTGACTTTTCCAATAAAATATAAAATAGTAATTGTGTTGCCATCGCCTCTTATTTTAGTTGAATTCAACAATTCAATGAATTTCCTGGCCAAAAAATGATAGTAACTCAATTAATTTCGTTTGTCAGTTTAGGGTTCTTAGTTCTTTTTTGGGAGCGGATGGCTCTACTAAATAGAATCGGCGAAATATGTACAGAGATGCCATGGGCAGGAAGGTTTGGGCCATCATAACTGAGGAGGCTTTAAATAGGGTTCGGGCTGAATTAATAGCGGGCAGTCTTCGCATAAGAAAGGCCCAACTTAAATTTTGTTTAACCACGAAATACTTTATCCATAATTCATGATCCAAAACCCACCAATATAAGCCCACTCAACTGCATGATTTTAATATCAGCATGGATTGGGATTTCCAGCGTGGTGCCGGTTTATCACACCATACGATTATCATCACACTTTGAAGATTTTTTTATTGGTGAATTTATTTATTTAAAAAAAAACGTAAGCAGTTACACTTGTACATTTGAATGTTTTGTTCCAAATTTCCAAGCACTATGATTCATGAACTAAATGGTTTATTTTGCATAAGTTGGCCTATATATAATTCCTGAAGTCTCAACAAGTTTGAGACTTGAAACGCTATGTGACCGATGTCTACAGGATTTGACCCTTCAAAACAATGTTTCAAAGATTTTTTCCCCCCTTTAAAAAAAGCAGGAGAAAATAGCAAATAAATGCTCCCAATATGTAAAATTATGATTTGGAACTCTCAATTTAAAAAATAGCAAATAAAGATTCGGTCCTATATTGTAAATATGAAATATTGATAAAATATCTAAAATGTTCCTCAGTCAAATTGTGATTTGGTCTACTAAAATTATTATTAGTTAAAGTAAACTTGTCATTTCTCATAGTTAACTTATTATTTGGTATACCCTGAGCTAAATTGTTATTTGATTTATTGAAATTATGATTCATTAAAGGGAACTTGTCATTTTTTATAGTCAACTTATCACTTAGTCGAGAAATATTTCGTACATTTCATCAAGATTTTATATTTTATAATATGAGATCGGGTCTTTATTTACTGTTTTCAAATTAAAAATCTCAAATTACAATTTCACATAGGTTTTTATTTACTATTTTTCTAAAAAAAATCCTTATTTTACTTTATCTGAGTTATTATTTGATGAGACCCGTACAGTAACGGGACTCATGTTCCGAGAAATAGAGCGATCAGCAATCAAAAAGCAAAAAGCAAAAGCCATATTTACATGAATTCTAAGATTCCACGCATAACATATGCAACGCCATTGGCCTAACGGCAATAAAAAATATAGAACCAGTTTTAAATATCATAAACTCATCGTATTTGAACTGTTTATATCTAATTTGAATAGTTTAAATTTAAAATTAAATATAAGATAAACGTACGGTGCTCATTCAAATCAGACATGGACCGAAACTGATTCCCAAAAGTATCCACCCCCTCTTCGCCCCATTCCTCAGCAATGACGTCACCCATTTCCCTCCAGAATAACTCTTTTCTCTTTACCCAGCATTATTCAACATCATCCTCCTCCTCCTCACGCCTTCAAAGTCCCCTTAAACATCATCACGTATCAGATATTGAAGACCGAATTAAAACATGTTTAATGATCTATGCTTAACAACGATAAAATAATTCCTCAAATTTGTTTGCCTTATGAATAGCATATGTTTTTGGTACTGACTTTGTCGGAACAGATGAAAAACAACGTCATATCTCAGAATATAATATCAGCAACATACATACATATATATATCTATATATATCTGATTCACGGCAAATTTACCAAATTTTTGTATCCGCGAGTCCTAT